AAACCAAAGTCATTTTGGTAGTCAAAAGCCCCCGGGAAAAGGCAACACCCCAAAATTTTCCGAACAGCTTTTAAAAAATTTGCCACTGTCTGGAAAATCTTCCGGCTCCTGCACCCAACATCTTGCTCCTGGGGGATTTCAACTTAAGGCACCTAAAATGGAGGAATATAGCAAATAATATTGTTGCAGTAATAACACCAGGAGGCAGCTCTGATGAAAACTCACACTCATGCGAGCTTTTAAATCTCTGCACAAAATTCAATTTAAACAAGCAAATAATAGAGCCTACTAGAATGGAGAATACACTAGACCTCATCTTCACTAACAATGATGATCTGATAAGAAATGTCACCATATCAAAAACAATATACATAGTACTCAGATCACAACATAATTGAGGTTCAGTCATGTATGCGCGGAGCCCCAGACCGACATAATGAGATTAGTCACGAGGGAGCATTCACCAAATTCAACTTCAATAACAAAAACATAAAGTGGGACCAAGTAAACCAAGTCCTAACCGATATAAGCTGGGAAGATATACTAAGCAACACAGACCCCAACTTATGCCTAGAACAGATTAACTCGGTGGCACTCGATGTATGCACAAGGCTTATTCCTCTAAGAAAAAGGAGGAGTAGATGTAAAATAGAAAGAGACAGGCGCTCCCTTTACAGGCGACGGAAAAGAATAACAGAGCGGCTAAAAGAGGTCAATATATCTGAAATGCGTAGGGAGACACTGGTCAGAGAAATAGCAAGCATCGAACTTAAGCTAAAAGAATCCTTTAGGAGTCAGGAATCGCGGGAAGAACTAAAAGCATAAATGAAATCGAAAGAAACCCAAAGTATTTCTTCTCCTATGCCAAATCAAAATCGAGAAACAACGTCCAGTATTGGGCCCCTACTTAAACAAGATGGGTCCTACACAGATGACAGCAAGGAAATGAGTGAGCTACTCAAGTCCCAATATGACTCAGTTTTTTAGCAAGCCGCTAACCAGACTGAGAGTCGAAGATCAAAATGAATTTTTTATGAAAGAGCCACAAAATTTGATTAACACAAGCCTATCCGATGTTATCCTGACGCCAAATGACTTCGAAACAGGCGATAAATGACATGCCATGCACTCTGCCCAGGGCCAGACTCATGGAACTCTGTGTTCATCAAGAACTGCAAGAAACCCCTATCACGAGCCTTTTCCATCCTATGGAGAGGAGCATGGACACGGGGGTTGTCCCACAGTTACTAAAAACAACAGACATAGCCCCACTCCACAAAGGGGGCAGTAAAGCAACAGCAAAGAACTACAGACCAATAGCACTAACATCCCATATCATAAAAATCTTTGAAAGGGTCCTAAGAAGCAAGATCACCACCCATCTAGAAACCCATCAGTTACACAACCAGGGCAACATGGGTTTAGAACAGGTCGCTCCTGTCTGTCTCAACTATTGGATCACTACGACAAGGTCCTAATGCACTAGAAGACAAAAGAATGCAGATGTAATATATACAGACTTTGAAAAACCTCGACAAGTGTGACCATGGCGTAATAGCGCACAAAATGCGTGCTAAAGGAATAACAGGAAAAATCGGTCGATGGATCTATAATTTCCTCACTACAAACACAGAGAGTAGTCGTCCAACAGATTAAGTCCCGAGGCACTACGGTGAAAAGCCTCTTCCACATAGCACAGACTCTCTCCATCTGTACCCTCATCCTCATATCCGACATAGACATGGATTTCAGCCACAGCACTGTGTCTTCCTTGCAGATGGGGGGGGGGGGGGGGGGGGGGGGGGGGGGTGGGGGGGGGGGGGGGGGGAGGGGGGGGGTGGGGACACCCGAATCTGCATGCAGTGTCTTCCATTGCAGACAATACTGCAAAAGCTCCAGGGCGGACATCAACCAAATCATTCAGTGGGCTGCAGAAAACAATATGAAGTTCAACGATGAGAAAATTCAATTACTCAAATAATGGAAAACAGAAGGAAATTAAATCTTCATCAAGAGTACAAAACAAATTAGGCCACATAAATAGAGCGAAACACCAACGTCAAAGACCTGTGAGTGATCATGACCGGAGTTCTCACCTTCAAGGAAACCATAACATTGTATCATCAATCGCATCCTCTAGAAAAATGACAGATGGATAATGAGAAACTGCAAAACAAGGGAGGCCAAGCCCATGGACACTCTTCAGGTCCACTTGTCGATTTAGGCTGAAATTGCTGCACCACTAACAGCACCGTTCAAGCAGGTGAAATTGCCGACCTAGAAAATGTACGAGAACTTTCACGCACGCATACCGGGAGGAAACACCTCAATTATTGGGGAGCGCATTGTCTGGTTCCTAAACCCTGAAATCCCTGAAACGCAGAGAAGATACAAGATTATAATACACCTGGAAAAATCCTAGAGGGACTAGTACCGAAACTGCACACAAAATCACACTTATAACGCAAGCAAACGACTTGGCTAGACGATGCACCATCCCCCCAATGAAAAGCAGGGGGGTCACTAGCACGTTAGAACCATACAGTAATGTCAGGGGCCCAAGACTGGGCAACAGCCGCCGAGCACACTTAAGGGATTTACCAACAGACCCCTGGCATTCTTCAAGCTGCACTGACAAGCACCTAAATCATTCCTGATCAGCCCGGGCTGGTTGCTCGTACATTGGTTTGCGTGACAGCCAGCAGCAACACCTGTTGATCAGGCCGATCCCACCAGGAGCCTGGTCACAGACCGGGCCGCGGGGGCGTTGACCCCGAACTCTCCCGGTAGCCAGGTACATCACTTCAGATTTTGGCCTTGGACCCTGGAAGGGGTTAATATATGTATGAAAGAGGGGAAGGTACCTAGGGATTGGCAGAGACCATGTATAGTTCCTTTTTACAAAAGGAAGGGACGAAAGAGATTGTAAAAAATTATAGGGGAATATATATTAATATACAGGAAACGTGTACGGCAAGGTTAATATTGAAGAATTAGAGTAAGACAAGAGTAGGATTTCAGATGAACAAGGCGGGCTGTTGAGTGGGTAAGGATGTGTAAATCAAGTTTTACATTAATCATAATATGTGAACAAGTATCTAGATATAAGGAAGGAAGTTTTTCATTGTCATATATGGATTTAGAAAAGGCATAAGAATAGAGGGATAGGGGTGCATAGTGGCAGAATGTTGCAATTACAGTGGACCCCCCCGCTTAACGATCACCTCCAATGCGACCAATTAATATAAAGTGTATTTATTAAGTGCAATTTGTACGTGTTGTTTTGGGGGTCTGAAATGGAACCAATCTACATCACACTATCCTTATGGGAACAAATTCGTCTGTACTGGCACCTGAAACAGCCTTCTGGAATGAAAAAAATATCGTTAACCGGGGGTCCACTGTATATGGAAAAGGTGTATGTTACTACTGCTGTAAAAGTTTTTTATTAGGATAGTGAGCTCAGGTTAGTGGTGTGTAGGAAAAAGGAGATTACTTCCCATTAAAAGTAGTCTTAGACATGGATGTAATGTCACCATGTTGTTAAATATATTTATGAGAGGGATTGTGGAAGGAGGTAAAATGCTAGGGGTTGGGAGATGGGTGGGATTAAATTGGGGAATTCAAGTACAAAATGGGAATTGACAACAGTTGCTTTTTGCTGATGATACTGTGCTTATGGAGATGTAAAGAAAAGCTGCAAAGGTTAGTGGCAAGTTTTGGGAGTGTGTAAGGAGAAAGTTGAAAAGTGAACATAGAAAAGAGAAGTGATGAATATCAAATGATTTTTAGATAAAGAAAAAGAAAAAATGGATATCTCATTGAGAGAGGGGATATGAGGAATGAATGTTGTCAATAGTTGGAGTATGACGTGTCAGCCATGAATTTAAGAAGCTGAGGTTAACCATAGAATGATGAGAAAAAAAGGTGCTTGGTGCATGAGTATATGTGGAGTACAAAAAACGTTATCTGTGGGAGGCAAAGGGAATGTATGAACAGTATAGTGGTTAGAACCAACACTCTTATAGGGTGTGAGGCTTTGGGTTGTAAATACGCAGCGAGGAGGCGTTGGAGCAGTGAATGTCCCTGTCATAGGTGTAAATATTATGCAGAGAATATCGAGAGTGGAAAATTAGGAGGTGTGGAGTTATAAAGTATTAGTCAGAAGGGCTGAAGAGGGGTTGTTTGAGTGTTGGCCAATTAGAGAGAATGGATTCAAAGTAAGAATATATTGAAGAGCGAATAAACCCTGTAGGGGAAAGGAAAGAGGGGCAGGGGTGTCCCTTGAAAGGGTTTGGAGTAGGGTAACGGAGGTTTCGTTAGGGCTTGACTTCCAGCAAGCGTGCGTGAGCGTGTTAAATAGAGTGAATGGAGACAAATGGCTTTTGGGACCTGATGAACTGTTGGAGTGTGAGCAGGGTAATTATAGTGAAGGGATTCAGAAGCCGTTATTTTTATATAGCCGACTTGAGTCCTGAAATGGGAAGTACAATGCCTGCACGTTAAAGGAGGGGTTTGGGATATTGGCAGTTTGGAGGGATATGTTATATATCTTTATATATGCTTCTAAGCTGTTGTATGTATCTGGGCATCTTTGCAAAAACAGTGATTATGTATGAATGAGGTGAAAGTGTTGAATGATGATGAAAGTATTTTCTTTTTGGGGATTTTTCTCTTTTTTTTTGGGTCACCCTGCCTTGGTGGGAGATGGCCGACTTGTTGAAAAAAAAAAAAACTTTATATAATACATTATCGAGATATTACCCTCTATACAATTGGGTGTCGGGTTTGACGTTTGGAGCTGTTTTGTAAATACTGTACCAAATACACACCTCATTACTAATCATTACTTAATTTTCCTTATGACGTTTCTTGTGATTTAATGACATATGAGATTGTTATGATATATTTGGGAATCTCTTTTTGGAGTTTTCTCATTCTGCATATAACTTGCAATTTACATACTCAAGATATATGTTAATATATACATGTTTTTGTAGCTAGGACTGCTGAGTCTGACCCACATACCCCTCAAGACATGGCACGAGTAGATGAGCTTGTAACCACCATCGTGGAGAGTGGCTTCAGCAGCCTGCAGGTGGATAAGCTTTGTTCTCACTAGTATAAGCTGCACACAGTATACAGCACACAGTGAATGGTTTGTATGATCTCTAACAAAATAAAGTGTATCAGTACAAAGAACAAAGAAATTAACCATAGCTTATTGGTATATATTATCAGTCAGCACTTATTGTAAGCTATGAGATTTGTAATTGAAAATAGTTTGTAATTAGGATGTTTACCATTTCTATAATATTTTGTCTGTTCATTCCTTCATTTCTGATTTAAAGGTCGATAAGAACATAGGGGGCTGTATGTACTATCATTCCTAATGTTTTAGGACTGGAAGCATTATGGTACAAGGAGATTCTGGAATAGAGCTACAAAAATCTGTGGAATACAATAAATTACTAAGCAAATAAAAATAAGTACAGGTCTGCCATCACAAATCCGGCTTCATTGGGACCTGTAATGTGCCGGATTACTGAGTTTGCCGGATTACAAAGTGGTTAGGTTAGAATATACTTAATAAAATTAACCAACTTGACTTACACAAGAAAATTCATTGAACATCAGCAAAAATCGAACATTTCCGCTACTTTGTGCTCAATTTCAAGGTACTTTTCATCATGAAACCAATCAAAATCATATCTATTTCTGTAATATATTTTCCATTCTATCAAATGAGACCAAAAAAAATGAGAATACAACCATAAAAACCATACGAAAATATACTGCAAAGAGGCGGGTAATGGCTGAGAAGTGAACTCTGTTATTTATCATCCGATTTTTTTTCATTTTTGGTGTATGTTAAGAAGCATCTTTCCATCATACATTGCCCAAGTTTCAATAAGAGAGCCCAACAAACAACTGAGAAAAAAAATATTTACCAAAAATCATATATGGCAAGCCCAAGCCAGGTACTGGAAATAAGTCACTTTGTCTGACTTTTTTGGGTTATCCTAGGTTCTCTATACATACGCTGCTATGTATGATAATCTATGTAACTATATTTGTGTATACCTGAATAAACTAACTACTATTCTGCCGACTGAGTGCAAGAAACCACCCATTCACCTATTTCAACTACCCAATAAAGTGGTCAGAAATTAGCAATTTGGCCAATTTCACACAAATTTCAACAGATGCCAATTTCAAAATAGGGACCAGAATAAACAATGCTGACATTCCTGCCACTAAAATAACATTTTCTCTGTTCATTAGTCACAGCTCCAGGCCCCTCTTATATTACTTTTGCTTACCATTTGGCTTTTTTATTCACACAAAAAATAGAAGATTTACTGTTATGCAGACTACTGCATTATTGTAATAATTGTATAAATAATGTCAACCCTAGCCATGGCTAGGGCTAAAAGGAAGCAGGTTATAACAATAAATGGAGAAAAAGAAATTGGAGTGACTTATGCAGCAAGTAGCACCACCAAACAGTACAGCAGGTTGGTGTGGCGACCTTGGAAATTTGAAATTATGCTAGTTGAAATAAATGCCGAGTAACTGATGGACCCGAGTAACTGATTGCCTGATTTGTGGTGGCGGACTTATACCTGGTACTTGCTGGTGCCTATAGCTGTTGTCCTTTTACAGTGTACATGTACCCTAAATTTACAGTAGATGTAGAATATCACACAAAAGTTTAAGACCCTTATCCCCTCTTTCCTCCCTACAGCCCTTTCTAGGGCCATCTGCTTCACCTCTCTACACTCCATTGAAAGTACTGTAGCAACAAAGGTAGCCATTGCTAATATGGGGAATTGTCAAGAAATTCTCCAGGATGAGCTGGCTAACTATAAAATGTTTTTTTTCAACTCCATTGAAGGTTTCAGAGGTTTTCAAGATGAAAACACAGTAATACGTCATAAAATCTGATTATGTATATCTGGATCATCTCAGTATTATTGCTGAGGTTAAATTATTTAACCTCGAACCCAACAATAGTTGGCCCAGGAGCTGCAACAACCCTTCATCACAAGAGGAAAAATATGATATTTATGTGTCTCGATATTTGATAACTTTTTCATAGTTTTTTGTTTTAGCACTCACAAAGGGAGGATATAATGTTACTATGCTTTTTCTTAAAAGGACCTATTTCGGGGAAAGGGGGGGAACAGGTGGTAGGCAGAGTAAAATTTTTGTCTATTCTTCTCTCTCACAGACATGATCAGTCCTACTTAATTTTTTAAACTTTTTTGGGGGTTATGCACTCAAAAAAAGGGCTATAGCCCTCTTTTCCCTCCTAAAAGTTTGGCCCCCCTTTTGTGGGTACAGTTTTTTAAAATTTCATCATGAAAAAATAATAGAATTACATAGGGAATATAATTGTCCCGGCCCCGTCTCAAGTTAAACTTTGGGGCTTCAAAGGAAAAAAATTTGTTTCTCTTAACATATTTTTTTTTGCTTAAAATGCATTTTTGGCCCCCTGTCGGTCATTAAACGGGGGGCCCAAACTGTCTACACATGATCATGAAACTCGGGTTTTTCAAAGAACTCATTGTTTTGGATTCCCCTTGAACCACAAAATTTGCTAACTAAAAAATGAAATAAGACAATTGATGATATAATTGATAACTTTTTTTAATTGAACATCCACAACCCTGTGTGGTGCTCAGTGTCTTAATGGGAATATAAGCCTCTTGGATATCCAATCTGTTGATATGGAATCATTCACACATTTTTTTATTATTAAAATTTTTTTTTTTAACCCAGGCCGATTTCCCCCCAAGGCAGGGGGGCCCAAAAAAAAACTTTTCACCATCATTCACTCTTCACTGCTTGCCCGAAGGGGGCCTTTCCTACAGTTTTTAAACCCCCAACATTCTTTTCACTTACAGCAAAAATTACAAAACATCTTTATTTTCCTAAGAAACAGTTAGCAATATATTTATAAAAACTCGATATCATGTTAACTACAGTCTTTTTGTATTTTATATTCATGGAGAATCAATGTCTCCAAGTGGCACCTGCTTGATTATCTCTAAACACCTCAGAGGTTCATTATCAGCTAAAACATTTTTGCATTATAAAATCACAGATTCATTTGGGCCCGGGGGTTTTTTGTTTGGGTTTTGGGGGGGGGGGGGGGGGGCCCCCGGGTTTTTTTCCAAACGTAAAAATTATAGTTTTTAGCTTGTAAAAATGTAAATTTTTTGTTAATATTCCCATAAGAAATAAGAAATCCAATTAATTTCCCTTCCGACAAACCCCAAAAAAATAAAAAAAAAAAACATTTTTTAGAAAACATACAGTGGACCCCCTTAACGATATTTTTTTATTCCCGAAGTATTTCAGGGGGCCGAAATGACCGAATTTGTTCCCTTAAGGAAAATTTTAAGAATTTGCCATTTCCCAAACCCCCCAAAAATACACGTACAAAACCCCTTCAAAGTACACTTCATAATTTGGCGCATTGGGGGGATCGTTAACGGGGGTCCACTGTAGTTTTTACATACAGACTAAGGCATACAAAACCAAGGTTCCACGATTTCTCAAATTTAAAAACCTTTATTTCCTCTCATTTCTTTCACATTGTTTACTAGAATTAATCTACCCCTTTTTTAACTTTTTTTTTTTTTTGGGTCCCCTATTTGGGCCTTTTCTCCTTCCCTTTCAACTTTTCCCTACCCTTTTAACTCCTTCACTGTTAAAAAATCTTTTTTTTTTTTTCCTTTTACCATTACTATCAGTTCTTTCTTATATCTGTACTGCTTACACCTTTCAAACAACTAAACTAAAAAATTCTTTCTTTTTTTTTTTTGGCAATTGATACGGGAAAAAGGTTTTTTTCCTCTTACCCGCATTTAGTACCTATGACATGGATGGCTCAGGGTAAAAATTCAAACCCCTTTTTCATCAGGGAACAAAAAATAAAACACAGTGAAATTAAATTCAATTTTTTCCTATATGGTTACAATGTGGGGTTTTCAGTTTTGGGTATTTTTTGGTTAAAAATGTTATAAAAAACTAATTCAGAGGGGGGCCCCTAGGGCCCGCATGGCGGCATTTGAGCGACTTAGATTAATTCTTAAAATTTTAAATCCTTAAGATTATAATTAACTAATGACTACATCAAAAATTTTTTAGTTTAGCAATGTGATGCTTTTGTTTTGCACAATACAGTGGAAAAAAATTCAAATATCAAACTTAATCTTTCCGGAGTTATTCTAAATTTAAAAGTTTGAAAAGCGAAAAAATATTTTTCCCCTAAAAATAATGGGAAAAACAATTAACCCTTCCCGAAAACCCCAAAAAAATTTACAAAAAAAAAAAACATTTTAAAAGAGATTTAATTTTAAATTTTACATACACACAACATAGTTCAATTATGTATTAATAGATTTAAATAAACATAAAATAACATTTTACTTACTTTTATTGAAGATTGGTGATGGCATCTGGAAGATAGGGAGGAGGAGAGAGGGAGTTGGGGTTTGTGTTTGGAAGGAGAATCCCCCTCCATGAGGACTTCAGGTATCAAAACTCTCTCTGGGGTTACTTCCCTTCTTTGTCTTTTAACCCCTTGACTGTCGCAACCCCCAATCCTGAGGTGTCTCCCGGTGTCGCAAAATTTAAAAAAAAAAAAAAATTATTTTTTCTTATGAAATGATAGAGAATCTTTTCCTGATTGTAATAACACCAAAAAAACGAAATTTGATGGAAAACTGACGGAATTACGCTCTCGCGAAGTTAGCGACCTTGGCGATATTTACAAATTGGCTATTTCGCCCACTTTGAGCCCTATTTTCGGCTAATTCCATTGTTCCAGTTGACCAAACTCATAGCTATTTCTTTAGAACTCTGTTTTTTCTATTGATTGAGTACAAGAAACTTCCCATTTACCAATTTCATCTACCCAATAACGTGGTCAGAAATTTGCAATTTGGCCAATTTCACAAAAATTAAAAATATGCCCAATTTCAAAATAAGGCCCCAAAATGAACAATGCAAAACATTCCTGGCTCTAAAATAACATTTTCTTGTTCATCAGTCATGTCTCCAGGCCCCTCTGATATTACTCTTGCTTTCTATTTTGAATTTTTATTCAAACAAAAAATAGAAGATTTACTATTATGCAGACTACTCCAATACTGTAATAACTGTATAAATAAAATCAACCCATTCATGACTGCATATTAGAATGGCTAGTTGGACATTTATTGGACAATGATGTCATTTGTTTACTTTTGAACATTGGCAAAAATTAAACATTTCCCTTATTTGAGCTCCATTTCCAGGTTCTTTTTATAGTAAAATCTGTCAAAATCATCTCTTTTTCTATATGTTTTCCATTCTATCAAAGGAGACCAAGAGAAAGAGAATACAACCATAAATACTATACGAAAATAGACCACAAAGTCGGCATTTTAATTAAAAAAAACGGTTGGAGTTTTTTTTTTCTCATTATGCACTGCGTGCTCCAGGATTTTTTTTTGTGGTGCACACTGACCACACAGACCCATTCACTCACATGTGGGCCTACCAGCTTTCTCCTTCTTGATTTGAAGCCACTAGAATTTATGAGTATATATACGTCAAACACGGTACCTTGTAAGACGTATATATACGGCTGCGACAGTCGAAGGGTTAATGCCACTAGGACCAGCTTGAGAGTCACTGGACCCCTGTCTCACAAAATAACTGTCCACAGTACTGTTTCTGGTGCCTCTTTAAGATTTCCCTAAAATGGGACATGGTTCCGTCACTGAACTTGCTGCAAAGATGGCTTCTTTCAGCTTGCTGAGGGTGGTACTTCTCCACAAACATTTGGACATCATTCCACTTGGACATCATTCCAATTATGTATTATTTCCTTCTTCACATCTATGGTGTTTTTCACTTTCTTTACCACAGGGGTACCACTAGTAAGTTTCTTTGGGCTCATTGTAGCTTATTTCACAGTCCCACAAGCACTAAACATAAAGAAATAATCGTAAAATGTTTGAACGAGAGAGCATGTTAGTGTTCACTCAAGCATCAACAAAAGCAGACTGGCTCACGGCGCCTGTGTGGGGGTGTGGACAGAGCGGGCTGCCGGACAGGTCCAGTACCCAGCGGCTTGAAAATAGGGGCGAGTTCGATAATAGGGACAAAGTTGGTTCGAAAAAAGGGTTCTATTTTCGAAGAGTTCGATAAGCGATACATTCGAAATTTGAGGTTCCACTGTACAAGGTGTCTATATTTGAGTATCATAGGCAGACTTATGACTAGTTAGGATTTATTATTTTAAGATTAAGATTAGTATTTCTGGGTTTATAGTCAGTGGGTGAGTGAGTGTAATTTTGAACCACCAGGTGGTTATCATGTAGTTAGTTGTCGGGGTGGATCAGGGAGATAAGATGTTTTCTAACTGTAGTTTTGAAAGTGATGAATGTGTCTGCAGTTCTAGAGTTTTCAGGTAGGGTGTTCCAGATTTTAGGTCCTTTGAAATACATTGAATTTTTGTAAAGGTTTAGTCGAACACGGGGAATGTCATAGAGATGTTTGTGTCTGGTGTTATGCCTGTCGATCCTGTCACAATTATCAAGAAAGCATTTTAGGTCAAGGTTAATATTGGAATTTAAGGTCCTGTAGATATAGATTGCACAGTAGTAAGTGTGGATGTTCTGAACAGGGAGTAAGTTTAGATCTATGAAGAGTGGGGGGGGGGTGTTGCCAGGGATGGGATTTAGTGATTATTCTTACTGTGGCTTTTTATTGGGTTATTATTGGCTTTAGGTGTGTTGCTGCATTTGAACCCCAAGCACAGATAGCATAGGTGAGGTATGGATATATAAGTGAATGGTATAGTATGAGAAGGGCAGTTTGCGGTACGTAGTATCGTATCTTGGAGAGGATCTCCACCGTTTTGGATACTTTTTTTGTTGTGTTGGATATGGGTGCTGAAATTTAGGTTGTTGTCGAGGTATAGGCCAAGGAATTAGCCCTCATTATGTCTGGCAATTAGAGTTTTGTCGATCTTAATGTTAAGTTGCGCAACACCTGCTCTGCTACCAAACATAATGTAGTAGGTTTTGCCAGTGTTAAGTGTAAGTTTATTGGCTGTCATCCAAGTCGATATTTTGAGCAGCTCCTCGTTAACAATGGTGTTGAGGGTGGCAAGATTAGGGTGGGAGATGACATAAGTCGTGTCGTCAGCAAAGAGAATTATGTACTTGTATTAAGAAATACTAAAGAAAGCATGTATAAGTGTAGTACTTATTCTGTAAATAAACTCGTACAACTTGCATATATAAACAGTACTCTTAGTTGTTGTTATTATTATTATTATTATTATTATTATTATTTTTTTTTTTTATTATCACACTGGCCGATTCCCACCAAGGCAGGGTGGCCCGAAAAAGAAAAACTTTCACCATCATTCACTCCATCACTGTCTTGCCAGAAGGGTGCTTTACACTACAGTTTTTAAACTGCAACATTAACACCCCTCCTTCAGAGTGCAGGCACTGTACTTCCCATCTCCAGGACTCAAGTCCGGCCTGCCGGTTTCCCTGAATCCCTTCATAAATGTTACTTTGCTCACACTCCAACAGCACGTCAAGTATTAAAAACCATTTGTCTCCATTCACTCCTATCAAACACGCTCACGCATGCCTGCTGGAAGTCCAAGCCCCTCGCACACAAAACCTCCTTTACCCCCTCCCTCCAACCTTTCCTAGGCCGACCCCTACCCCGCCTTCCTTCCACTACAGACTGATACACTCTTGAAGTCATTCTGTTTCGCTCCATTCTCTCTACATGTCCGAACCACCTCAACAACCCTTCCTCAGCCCTGTGGACAACAGTTTTGGTAATCCCGCACCTCCTAACTTCCAAACTACGAATTCTCTGCATTATATTCACACCACACATTGCCCTCAGACATGACATCTCCACTGCCTCCAGCCTTCTCCTCGCTGCAACATTCATCACCCATGCTTCGCACCCATATAAGAGCGTTGGTAAAACTATACTCTCATACATTCCCCTCTTTGCCTCCAAGGACAAAGTTCTTTGTCTCCACAGACTCCTAAGTGCACCACTCACTCTTTTTCCCTCATCAATTCTATGATTCCTCATCTTTCATAGACCCATCTGCTGACACGTCCACTCCCAAATATCTGAATACGTTCACCTCCTCCATACTCTCTCCCTCCAATCTGATATTCAATCTTTCATCACCTAATCTTTTGTTATCCTCATAACCTTACTCTTCCTGTATTCACCTTTAATTTTCTTCTTTTGCACACCCTACCAAATTCATCCACCAATCTCTGCAACTTCTCTTCAGAATCTCCCAAGAGCACAGTGTCATTATTATTATTATTATTATTATTATTATTATTATTATTATTATTATTATTATTCTTGAACCTTAATTACTAAGAGACAGACTGTACTGCATCATCACCAAACTGTGCACTTAATGTGTAGATTTGTTTTATATCTAATATTTTGCCAAAAGTGACCTGCCTACTAGGGAATTCTCAAATACTATACAATACCATAATTGCAGACAGGCTTATCTTGTAACTCCATACAGTACCTTGAGAATAAAATGTTGAATATTTCTAATGTAAATGAAATCTGACTGACTATCAGTTTGCCTTCAGCTGGTGGTGGACTTTGACTACACTTTGACAAGAGTTCATATGGGAGGACAGCGGTGCCAGTGCTCGTGGGGTAAGTTGTAACACCGTGATCACCATTACGGTGGCAAGCACACAAATGACACAGTTTTCTGGGTCGCCTGCCACACAAGTGGTAATGTGATCACCACTTGAAATGCAAGTGGTAGTGTGATCACACTTCAAAACACAAATAGCTCAGTCAATTTTTTAGGTCACCTACCACTTAAGTGGTAATGGTATGATCAGAATATGAAACACAGATGGGTTGGTTATCTTGGTCATCTGCCACATAAGTTGTAGCTGTGTGGTGAACATCTTTTTGGCTACTTGCCATAAAACATAATGTGCCTTAATATACTCTGCTGGTCTAATAGTGACCATATTGAAATGGTTTATTTACAATAATGCAGTACTGTACATATGTACCGGCATGTAAATTTAACTGCGAAGTTAACATTTTTGGAACAGTTGTGTTACATAGCATTTCAGGCTCGTCTTAAGCTAACAATCACTTAAATTGAGTATTAATTTTTATTATGTTGTTATTTAACTGGAAATACCATGAAAAGCCTAGTTGTAGATAATATCAATTTTTATGTGATGCTTTTTAAATGAATTTGTATGTTATACATGTGTGTGTTCTTACACATGCAAAACAGATGTGTAAACACAAGAATGGTTTATTTGGTATCCCTGAAGGGGTACCTTTAAGTGGCTGCCAGAATTTTTTCTTCTTCCTCCAAGGTTTTCATTTATAATTTGAGAACAGCTTACATGATCACCTTTAAATTTTTAACCCAGGTATACATTGCCATGTGCAGATCCCTTTGGTCACTTTTATTAAAAAAAAAAAGATGAAAATTATTTGTTTATTAACCCGTAAACGTATATATACGTTCTCTCGCATAGTGCCTCAAATTTTTTGAGAGAAAAAGAGCATATGGTACCCAGGCATCCCCAATTATTTTAATATGGCACACAGTGAGTGCGCACACCCATTCTCTCATGTCTAGGCGACTCAGGCTTATTGTGGCAATGTTGAATGTATGACAAATAAAACGTATATATACGTTTGGGGCACTAGCAGTAAAAAGTATATATACGTTTGGACCGTTTACGGGTTAAGAGCCATACAAATACAGTAGTTGTACATTCAAAATGATTACATTTTCACTATGATCTTATAATACAGATATGATTTGATACAACATAAGGCTCAGAAAAAAGCTACTAAATATACAAATGCATTTCAGGCTAACTAATCATAAGACTTACTGCTTATATTTAGACCTAAAATATAATTAAAGTCAGCATAGCTTGGGTAATTCATTACAATCTTAAGTGCAGTGAGAGGATGCAAATGAAGAATTGATCAATTGCAAGTAAATTACATAAAAATTATATCAGCTCAATGACCTGCATATTTTTGAGTGGTTGAAATGGGATGTTGAAATAATAACATGAAAATTTACTGTCAATGGATATAACATTTATGTGAGGTTTTATAAGTGCTTTTAGCATATCAGTAAATGTTAGCAAATGGGGAACTTTTGGCATTTTCAGGCAGTGACTTTCATATTTCTGCATGGAGATTTTGAATAGGTTGAGTGATGAAAATGGAATGTCAGAGAGGAACAGGTCAGCCATCACTAATCCAGCAGTCAGTTATTCGGTTCCATCAGTAATCTGGCACTAATTTCGGCTAGCGTAATTTCAGATTTCATTATTATGCTGACTCAAATCATTATATTGACTCGAATTTCATCATTACACTAGCTCAGAAATTGTGCAGATGGTTGTAAATCCACAGCAGCAAGCTAGTGGAAGAGAAACCAGTTATGAAAATGAGGAAGATGTAGTAGCAAGAGTCTCTATTGATAGGTTAATTAAATGTATTCTAATCTAACCACTCTGTAATCCAGCAAACTCACTAATCCAGCACACTACAGATCCCAGTGACGCCGGATTAGTGATGGCCAACCTGTACTTGTTCTTTGTATTGTGTAAATGTGTTTTGTTGCAGCTCTCCATAGAGAATTTAAGCTCTGGGTTCATGTTTGTATTGAGTGTCCTGTAGACATAGTGTGCACAGTAGAAACTGAGAGTATTATGTTATTATTATTATCATTATTATCACACTGGCCGATTCCCACCAAGGCAGGGTGGCCCGAAAAAGAAAAACTTTCACCATCATTCATTCCATCACTGTCTTGCCAGAAGGGTGCTTTACACTACAGTTTTTAAACTGCAACATTAACACCCCTCCTTCAGAGTGCAGGCACTGTACTTTCCATCTCCAGGACTCAAGTCCGGCCTGCCCGTTTCCCTGAACCCCTTCATAAATGTTACTTTGCTCACACTCCAACAGCACGTCAAGTATTAAAAACCATTTGTCTCCATTCACTCCTATCAAACACGCTCACGCATACCTGCTGGAAGTCCAAGCCCCTCGCACACAAAACCTCCTTTACCCCCTCCCTCCAACCTTTCCTAGGCCGACCCCTACCCCGCCTTCCTTCCACTACAGACTCATACACTCTTGAAGTCATTCTGTTTCGCTCCATTCTCTCTACATGTCTGAACCACCTCAACAAGCCTTCCTCAGCCCTCTGGACAACAATTTTGGTAATCCCGCACCTCCTCCTAACTTCCAAACTAACGAATTCTCTGCATTATATTCACACCCACACATTGCCCTCAGACATGACATCTCCACTGCCTCCAGCCTTCTCCTCGCTGCAACATTCATCACCCATGCTTCACACCCATATAAGAGCGTTGGTAAAACTATGCTCTCATATATTCCCCTCTTTGCCTCCAAGGACAAAGTTCTTTGTCTCCACAGACTCCTAAGTGCACCACTCACCCTTTTTCCCCTCATCAGTTCTAATGATTCACCTCATTTTTTCATAGACCCATCCGCTGACACGTCCACTCCAAATATCTGAATACATTCACCTCCCCCATACTCTCTCCCCCCAAAATGATATCCAATTTTTCATCACCTAATCTTTTTGTTTCCTAAACCTTACTCTTTCCTGTATCACTTTTAAATTTTCTTCTTTTGCATCCCTACCAAATTCATCCCCCCAATCTCTGCAACTTCTTTTCAGAATCCCCAAAGGGGGCACAGTGTCTCAGCAAAGAGCAACTGGAAAACTCCATTTGTGGATTCTTTTTTTTAAAAACCCCACCCTCTTCCCCAAGACCCTCGATTTACTTTCTTACAACCCATTAAAAATATATTAAACAAACCAGGGGAACACACACTCCTTTTTAAAGGCCTACTTTTACGGGAAAATAATTTTCCCTTTTTCCCTACATACTCTAATTGAGTCACTGTCCTCGTAAAAACCTTCCGCTTTTTAGTAACCTACCCCTACCCTACACCTGCAAATCTCCACATTGCCCCCCCCTACCCCCCGTCATATGCCTTTCCAAATCCAAAATCCAAAAAGACCTCTTTAGCCTTTATAAAAATACTGTTACTTATATGTTTCACGAAAACACCGGGTCCACACCCCCCTACCTTTCCTAAAGTTTCCCCTTGTTCTTTTATCCTTTTTTCCCCGTCTTACTTTAATTCTTTCAATAATAACTCTCCTACACTTTACCGGTATATAAAACAACTTATCCCCCTAAAATTTTTTGCCTTCTTTTGCCCCCTTTTTCCTTTATAAAAAGGAACATGCATGCCTCTCCCAACCCCCTAGGTACCTTCCCCTCTTCCATACATTTTTTAAAATAATTGCACAAACCCTCCAAAATATATCCCCCCTGTTTTTAAAAACATTTCTATTTTTACCCCATCAATCCCGGCCCCTTACCCCCTTTTTCTTTTACTTACTCCCTCACAACCCCCCCCACATCGAACGGGCTCTTCCTCACTCCTACAAGATTTTTTCCCCCTTTCCCCCTATACAAAAAATCACAGCTTCCCCCCTTCATAAAAATTTAACAATTCCTAAAAATATTCCCCCATTTTCCCCAATCCTCTAACTTCCATTTAAAACCCCTCTCCTTTTTTTAAACTGACAAACCCAATTTGTTCTCTAGGCTTCCTTAACTTGTTAACCACTCCAAAAACTTTTTTCTTTTTTTCAACAAATTTGTTGATAAAACCCCTTCATTGCTCTTTTTACATTGTTCACCCCCTTCTTAACCTCTCTCTTTTTCCCCTTTTACATGGACCCCGCATAACGATATTAATCCGTTCAAGAGTCATTTTTTATGCAAAATTATCGTTATGCGAAGAATTTTCCCAAAAAGAAATAATGGAAAAAAATTTAACCCTGCAAGACCCCAAAGTATAAAAAAAACATTTTTCCACATGAAATATTAATTTTTATACACACAAATGAAAAAGGGTGCCAATTACATGAACTTACCTTTATTTAAGATCTGGTGATGATTGAGGGTGGGAGGAGGGAGAGGTCTTAGTTTTAGAAGGGGAAACCCTTCCATTAAGATTGAGGTTTTCAAATCCTTTTCTGGGGTTACTTCCCCTTTTCTTTTTGCCACTAGGACCAGTTTTAATCACGGCCCCTTTTTCGCACAACAATCTGTCCATGTGGCCTGTACCTCTCCTTTCCTTTATGATTCCCTAAAGTGTTTTAAAACATTTTCAATGTAATTCACCGCAAGGTTTCAATAGCGTGTAGGGTGATTTTCATCCATTTAAAAGGGTTTGCACTTTCGCCACATTGCAAGATTTCCTTAATCTTTGTAGTAGCAACTTCTTCAATTTTCTCTTTCCCCCTCCGAACCAGTTTCCTCAGGCTGGCCCCTGCTGTTGAAGTTGATCGACTATCAGGGTTAGTTCTTTATTGTCCCCTCCCCAAAATCTTTACATCTCCCCCTAACCTCCAACCCCAAGGCTTCCCAAGCCACAAATGATTCCTCAACTGGGATAGGTTCCTGGTTAGCCTCAAAACCTTCAAAATCCCTTTGGACAGTTTCCCCAAGCAGAGTTCAAGGCCCCTTAGTCACTCCCTCCAAGCCTTTCCTAAAGGTTTACACAATTGAGGATATTGAGTGCTCTCCCAAAAAACT